TCTGCTTGTCCCATCATCCCTTGCGTGTGCTCTCTCAACCCTTGCTGCCCACCCACGCCCGTCTCTACCTATCCACCCCCTCGACATCGTCACCATTTCTGCCAACGTCCTCCGGACCACCCCATCCACCCGCGTCGCTTTCGTGTCCCTCGTCATCGTCATCTTCGTTCCCTCTCACCGCGTATACGTACTATATCCTTCCCCGGGCCTCTCTTTCCGTTTCTCTCCTCGTGTCTCTCCTCCGTTAGCGTCGCGTCCTATTTCCATCCCGTCGTTTCAGCCCCGGCCACGATGTTCGGCCCATGGCCCACCGCCCAGCCACCCTCCCCGACGGATACGAGAATACCGAGCCGGCCTCAAAGAGAATGCGATAATACGAAGAACTTCGACTAATGAGTTAATAGTTGGTGCCTCGCGTTACCGTCACACCACGAGTACTTTATTCGACGTCGCCCGGAGCAACCGGATTATAACGCGGGGGTGGTTGCGCTCGCGTGCACGCGTCACGCACAAGTGAATCCCTGTACACTGACTCACGAATGTATTGTACAGTATAGAAAACTTTTACGAATATATTATCGCTCGTACATTCGAATCTTATTAAATTTTCAACAAATGCACGTAACACAATGTGCACATGTATGTACATACAACCGTAAAAGCTTTCGGCGTCACTGGAGCGGTCAATTTTTGTATGGAGCCATTTAACACCGGTCCCACCGTGCTCGAATTTTATCTCCGCTATCGGGAAATTCGTTTCAGGGCAAGCGCTTGATATTAAAACCCAGGTAAGAGATTTGGATTACTCCTTATCGAATTGACTACCGGCGACGAACGAACGTGTTTTATTGGGAAATGGGGATGATTTAACAATGATCCGGGTACGTCCCGATTAAAGATGTAAGATGAATCTATTCAGGTAATCTTTCGTACTCGGCTTTATCAAATATTAAGAGCACAAATTCAGAAACAGTTTGTACTACTTGTAGAATAAAATAAATAAATAAAAATTAAATAAGACATTAGAACTTAACAAGTGTATTTGGAAAGAATGGAAGGGGCATATAAGATTTCCTACAAACGAGTTAATCCGCGGCAGATCGTTGGATCGAGCTTTTAAAACAACCGTCTCGCGTCAATAGGGCTGGCTCTTCGCCGCGAGAGGGTCGTTCTCGAATTTACATTTCTAATCGCGGCTAAGAAACGGCGCGTTATGGAGATTGCGAAGGTAAACGGGCGCGATATCAGCATATCAAACGGCCTCTTTGAGCCCGGGCTCTCGCGGTGCGCGCGGAGCGTGTCGCCGACAGCCGCGGGGCGCTTTTTAAAGCGCCGCAGCCCGCAGAAAAATCCCGGGCTTTTCGGACGAGTGTATGTGTGTGTATGTGTGTGTGTGTGTATGAGCATACATCGTCACCGCGCTGCGTCTCGTGTCGTCGCCGGGCCGGGTGTCGAGATAAAAAGAGCCAACGTGAGAAAAGTGCAACCAATAATTTTATTTTCCGCGATAAAGCACGGGCCTCTCCCGGAGACGTTTTCCAGGGTGACACGCCGCCGGGAAAGGGGTGAGTCGCGTATCTTTAGTAAGTAAACAGAACGCCTTATGAATTTTAAGCAGCGCGACAAGAACAGTACGACCAGCTTCTTTTTCTTGCCTGACCTTTTCTACATTTCTTCTCGTTCGACCCATCGTCATCGCTTCACCTTGCCCTTTACGTTTTCCCCATTCTCCTGTTTTACGGGATATATCGAGTAATTCGATGATAAAAGTATAACGTAATATGCAATACGATAATTTTGCTCTCTATCCTCTCCTAGCTCTCGAGCGGAAGATACACGCTACTCGTTTATAAGAGGCAGCATGCGCAAACCGACCGCGAGTAGTCGCGATTAACGAGGCTAGAGAACGAGAGAACCCTGTTTCCTTTTTGAGGGGAATACGTTTGCCTTCCAGAAATGTAAACTCGTCTATATCTGAGGAAGTTTTATGCGAGGTCAGTAGCGTGGATCGCAAGAAAACAGAGACGCCGGTACACATGTCGTTTCTCATTTATGACGCTACTTCAGCGGATGTAAAGCGAGAGAGACAGGGAGAGAGAGAGAGAGACCTAAACATTTCCTTTAGTAGATAATTTATTTAACATAAAGACACTATTTATGCTTGGATGAAAATAAATTTTGTACAGATGACATAATTAAAGAAAAGATACAAAACCGTATCAATAGTCGTATTGTAAACCTAATTCTGTAATTACAATTAATTCGTACAATTCTCTCGCGTCGAACTCTGTAGAAAAAAGCTCGTAGATGTACAGATATCCAATATCATACATATGCCAGTTGCCGGGAAAGCGCGTCGGTGTTTCCCCCGGTGGATTTTCCATGAGAGTGGGCGGTCATGCGGCGTTGTTTTGATATTGATCTCCGGATACAACACCGTCTAAGCATTCTAATGGCAAGGGAACCGGGATTCTGCGCGCTGCGTGGCGCACGTGTTTCTAATGATTTTAGTGGTACCGAGGTGTACCCGCGGCGACGTATAGTTATAGCCGGGTACGAACACGTATTACATCCACTCCGCCGGGGCACCCGCGTAATATGTCGGAATTGCGGAAAGGGGTAACGCGGTAAGAGAGGCGGAGAGGGCCCGCGAGGACGGTCTTGCGGGATTCTTAATGGCAACAGGCCTCCGAGGTAACACTACGGCTATTAAACGCCCTCTCCTTCCATCTACTTGGTAACGCTACCACGATCTTCCTCTTTCGACGCGCACCCGGGGCAGTTTTTCACTTCAGCTACCACCTTTGGAATTCAACGGTACGTATGACTCAGTCGGTAGAGTTTTGTACACTGTGTCAGATGTAAATTGTCAAGTTTCATCTCCGAGAACGATACATACATAAATGCAAATAATTGCCAGATTCTTCGGCTACATTTATTTAAATCCAAACAAAATAATTGTTGAATATAAACGCGAAACAAACTATATACTATACCTTTAAGTGACGCAAATATATTTATAATCGCGATTAAAGAAGCATGCTGAAACGTAGTGAAACCGGGGCAAGGAGAAAAGAAACGGGGAAAGGAAACTGAAAGATCCCGAACGTAGGGTAAGTAACGAAAATGTAAAGCCCGGATCAACCGCGTTCATCCCCTTTCGGCGTTGGCGTTTGACGCGACCGCTGAAATTTTTATTTCGTTCGATTTGGTCTTTCGGGGATTCTCCGTCCTCTGATTGGTGGACTTTGGCCACGCCCTGCATATAAGGGTGGCTTGCTCGCCGGAGCACTATCAACCCTTATGTATGCCCGATGTGAGTACACTTATGTATGTGCCCGGGGGTACATATGTAACGCCGTACAGATTTCGCGCGTACGTGTACGTACCCGGGGCGAGTACATAGGCGCAGGAACGTGTGTACCGGGCGGGGCTCTTTCTCTTTCTCTCTCCCATGCAGGACCGCCGAGAGAACTCTCGATATGACACGGTCGATCGAACCAGTCGTAATTTTAGTATGAAACTCTTATCTAAAAATGAACGACTCGCCCGCGGTCGCTATTCTTTTTGCGAAACTCTCGCGGGACTCAGGAAGTGAGGGTGGAAGATCGAATGGAACGTGTTCGCTGATGATATTTGCATTTAAAAACGTGTGCGTCAGGGTGGAGCTCAATTAAAAATGAAACAATATTTTATAAGTATGTGTGCATATGTTTAACGTGAGTTGATCGAACGTTTAATAATTCTTCCGATTAAGCAGACGAATGTTGATGTTATTACATACAACTACTGGGTATTGAATTTTTATAATAAAGAATGGTCTTCTCATAAATGATTGCAAGTTACCTGAATTGTGACTTTGCATTAGCACTCGCCGGTTACACGGAAAAGGAATTTACGCAGTCTCGCGACGCCGGAATTGTTTCGCGCGCAGGATTGAATAGAATGAGACGTCACTTCTCGTGGAAAGGAATATTTTTATGCTGAGGATATTTTGCATGAAATTCATGCCTCAAAAAGAAGATAGTCGGTGGTATGAGCAAGAGACTCACGAACTACGGTATAGATATGATTATTTCACAGCGGGTAAAGTAGAATAAGATGTCATCTTGAATTGTCTTGACTGTCTAATACAGCTTTACGTTACAAACGTTAAAAGGAATGACGAGGACGTCGCAATTGTTAAGATACACGCGTTACACTAAATTCACCTCTTCCGAAATGATACGCATTTCAGAATTAATTGCGCTTAAGTGCGAGCACCTTCCGCAATGTGTCGCGTAACCCTGTCCGGCTCCTGTTCTCCTTTCAATTATTCTTACTCAATTATATCGCGCACGCTCTACGTCTCACTTCATTATTAAAGTGGGAATTTCATTTGATGCTACGAGTTTAAATTACATCTCCCTTTTGTTTCTATTATTTTTAGGAGACTCTGATGTTTGACCATTGATTATTTAGAATTTATCCAAGATTTGATTGTTCTCGGTCAAAAATTGTTAAGGCGATGATTTAAAATATTTAACCGATCGTTCATACAAATAAGGCGGCGATCAATTGTGACATTAAAATAATATAGTAGTATAAAACGGTCTGAGCACCGAGGAGATTATTAAAGAGTGGCAGTCTTGTGGGACTTCATGTCCCACGAAAAAAACGACAATTTTTGACGCCCTATAGCCACCGAAATAAGAAACAGAAAGCAAAACACTCGTCGGTGCTGAACAGTTGCCAAATACAAGAAAAATCCTCTTCTCCACCGGGAAGCGCGTTCACCTACTGTGTTTTGAACCCCATTGGACATCATTCGCTGTTCCAACGATTACATGGGCACTGCCACTCTTTAGCCCTTTTACTCTGGTAGTATTTCCTCGGTGGTCTGAGTCTGAGTGAGTGTATCAGTGCTTTGAATTTAAAATGCATCGCGGGCACCTAGCAGGGCCAATTCGATATTCGAGCTCTCGATTGAGTCTACTTTATGTAGTTCACGTTGTATGAGAAATAAGCAGTGGAGGCGCTCGCGTCAGTACCGTGAACGCTTCGAAACAAAATCGTGTTCGGTCGAAAGTTTCTTCAATTGTGATTAAAATGATCGAGGAACACGACGAGCGCGAGACAATATGCGACTCGGTGGTAAGTTCTACGTTACGTCTGACACGATTATGCCAATGATTCCTTGGCTAATCGGCAATACTGGGCTGTACTGATATTTTAACCTCACTTTTAGAATTCACTAGTGGAAGGCTGCCGTTTACCAGTAAGAATGCACGGAACCGATGATTGGCGTGAGTAAAACGTTTATTTTTATGACCAGCCTTTGTTCACACGACGATGTATTCTCGGAAAATTATGATTTTCTTGTCCAAATTGCATATATGAATGAACGATAAATCATTTGAGAAGTGTGTCATTGAATCGCATTATCAATTCATTCTACAAACTTGTGCTCTTTTCTCGATCGACTGTTACGTTTGAATCATATTACGAAAATCTGAAGTCTCGATTTAAGTAATTATTGGCGCTCATTGTTTGTGCATCGTGATTAGTTTCGTTTTTAGGTTATGCTTAGGTATTTTGGATGGTGTTAGTTTGTGTACATACATTTCTTCTGTTGTTTCTCGGGACTTGATCACAATCCCATTGATTTAGTTGATGCTAAGGGTTTATCAAAGCGTTCCTTTTGTCATCCACAGCTCTTGCTGAAATCATCAGTGTTAAAGAAGTACATGGTGTCAAGTGTTATTATGTTCACTATGTAGATTGTAAGTATAAACGCGAATTTAGAAGAGAGGCGTTTTATGTATGTACAGAAACACCCATTTAACTAAATGTACGATATTTTAGTTAATAAACGATTAGATGAATGGGTTACGGAAGATTGTTTGGACACTAGGAAAGTCCAATATCCTCGGCGGGATGGTACCACACCAGGTACTGGTGCAGCAACCCCCAAAAAACAAGCACTCAGCAGACCACCTAGTCCTAGTAGCCTTAGCAATGAACCAGTCAATGGTTCGGCTGTTTTACAGGCTGCGTTACAGAAGAAAATGTCTAGAAAGAGAAAGGCAACATTTATAGAAAACGAAGATTCTCAGGATGCCCCGCCACAGACACCCGGTCCAAGGCCGACCGGTTCGTTGGTTGCTCATCATCACGATGATATCGTTACTCGGATGAAAAATATCGAACTCATCGAATTAGGCCGTCATAGGATAAGACCCTGGTATTTCAGCCCTTATCCACAAGAGATGGTGAACATATCGTGTATATACATTTGCGAGTTCTGTCTGAAATATAGAAAAAGTCGAAAATGTTTAGAAAGGCATTTAGCAAAGTGTAACTTGAGGCATCCTCCTGGCAACGAAATATATAGGAAAGGCTCGATATCGTTCTTCGAAATCGACGGTCGAAAGAATAAGAATTACGCACAAAATCTTTGCCTACTGGCAAAATTATTTTTAGATCATAAAACGCTTTACTACGACACGGATCCATTCTTGTTCTACGTAATGACAGATTTCGATTGTAGAGGATTCCACATTGTTGGTTACTTCTCGAAAGAGAAAGAGTCGACCGAGGATCATAACGTAGCCTGTATCCTAACACTGCCGCCCTATCAAAGACGGGGTTATGGGAAATTATTGATAGAATTCTCGTACGAACTATCCAAGTTCGAGGGCAAAACAGGATCACCTGAAAAACCGTTGTCCGACTTGGGATTGCTCTCTTACAGAAGTTATTGGGCACATACCATACTGGACATACTGTTGAACATAAAGCCATTAGTAGAAAATGAGAAGCCTCAGATCACGATAAGTGAGATTTGCGAGCTGACGTCGATTAAAAAAGAAGACGTGATATCGACGTTACAGAACTTGAATCTCATTAATTACTACAAAGGACAATATATTGTGACATTGAATAGGTAATTGGCTACATAGTCAATGCGTCGTTAGGGAAAAAAAGTCGTGCAGACAATGCATCTTTTGTCTGAGAGAACGCAGTTTAGCTTTTCTTACGAGAGATTTCTCTTGCCGTATCTCACTGACAAATACATGTTTAATTCGCAGGGAGATTATCGAGCAACACTCGGCCGCAATGGAAAAGAGGCAAATCAGAATAGATCCTAAGTGTCTTCATTGGACACCAAAAGACTGGAGTGTTAGGGCAAAGTGGTGAAGTGACGTTCAAATGTTGACAATAAGACCACCCTAACATTGTCTCGAAGTTGTTTTCAGGATCCCCTAGATGAGTGACTAATCGTTCGATTTAGCGACTGTACAAAATGACTTGTACATAATACACATTGACCGTATCGGGTCTGTGTTTCTTTTAATAAGACTGTGTGTGGAGCAACCGAGGTTAGCGATGTTTCATACGACGATAATAAGAAATCTATCTGTTAACTGGCTTTCCGTCTAGAGTCAGAAGCAATGTTTTAATATGGTGACAGAATTTTTTAACCGTTTCGCATACATCTTTGCGAATCAGCTATTTGTACAGAAATATAAATCGGTCTTGTAGAGTTGTAAATAAATCTGATTTTATAACGTGCGTCTCATTTCCTGAAAAAATGAAAAAATGTGAAACGCAATCGATAATTTTGAAGTAATACGTAATTATATATAATTCCCCGAGGTTTCGAGTAAGATCGTAAGAAGAAAGGTTCGTGCGTGCCCCTTTTTTAATTCCGACACTTCCGAAAGCAATTACCATATACAACAGAAGTTGTATGCGCACAACTGTGCACACATCACTCAACCACGTATTAGTCGATACTCGAACTTGCCTGATTGTAAATTGAGAAATAAAGTAAAAAAATAAAAAAGAATTATATTTAAAACAATCGGATTCCATTTGTTACTTAAATGAAATATGAATACTTTTTCCGGCAATATGTTATCACCGGCTGTGTTTAATTAAGTGTGAGAAAAAGTCTCGGTTATAAATCATCCGTCTTGATCCGATTGTTCAACCATAACGGAAAGTTACCTATAAAGTGCGAAATAAAAAGTATTTTTCTCTGGAAATGTGTATTTTTGATAGAATTAATTTTTACCATTAGAACAGGATGAACTTAGAAGTAGAAAAAAAGAAATCCCGAGTTCTTAGATTTTCTTCATTTTCTCATAAGTGCCGTGACTCGGTAGGAAGAGTATAAATGAAACTTCAAAGAGATTCTTTAAATACAGCATCTTTTATGTGTGTGTATATA